ATGGAAACACAGAACTGATAATTTATCATTTTAAATTGGTTAAGTAAGAAGAAACTGAACTGCTATTTAAATCTGAATTTGGTTCTGTAACAAACAAAATCACAACCATGCACTGTTAACGGCCTACATACCTACTTATGATTCATTCACTGCATAGAAGAGTTTAAATTTAAATGTCTTATCTGGTGAAATTATAATGTAAAAATAAATCTTTATTACTTTTCTGCTTTTCTCATAATTTTCATGCCAGCCACAAACATCATTTTATCAAAATTAAGTTCTGCACGAACTGATTGAATTTCTTTGTTGGGTGTTCCACATTTCTCCATCATTGAAAATATTTAAATTAATTTTGTTTACATACACAAACTACATAGTTTGCACTGGACGTTATCCTAGGCCTTAGATCTGTTAATTAAATCATCTTAATTACTAGGCACTCATTATCACTTCTAAAAGACACACAGATAAAATAACCGGGCAAAAAGAAAACATCTTGGTCTCAAATAAGGGAAAATGGATGTACTGCTCTACAGACTGCTTTTTTTTATAGAAATGCATAGGATCTGTTTACCTGGTTGAAATTCAAATTGTTTTATTATGGTGTCAATTCTTTGGTTTTGGCAGCACTTCTAAAGTGTCTATACACAAAAGGACTACCACAGTGAATGAATGCTAGTGTTGACACCACCTAACAAGCAGGGATTATGTGTTTACAGAAGAAGTAATATGATAGGTCAAGTATAAGAGGCACTTCTCAAGAGCACTTCACCACATAATGAGTGACTGACTAGAAAGTGCGGGGCTGCCACTCTTTGGCTTCGTTTCAGTGTTGATGCCTGCCTCTCTCCTCTAAAGCCCTCTTGATCATGTTCAGCTGCTCTGTTCTCATGTGGTGAATAATAGTAGAGTAAAGCTGCTTTTCTGTCTCATTTTTCTTGCTAATTTACACATTCAAGCCATTTTTTGTTTGCTATCCTTATTTGCTATTCCCTTTTGTCAAGGCACTGTTCTCTTTTTTTGCCTCAGGCCTAGGAACTAATTTGAGCTTCTATAATTACTTCATGTTTTACACCTGTCTGCATATCATGCACCCCTTGTCTCTGTACTTAAGCTGTATATTTCCTTGGGGGAAAAAGGCTAGTTTTCATACATAAGGAATCCCCAAGTTTCTCCTCACAGTCTTCCTACAGAAGAAACAATTAAACTGTTGAGATGTTCTCAGCAATGCAGCTGACCTTTTGGGTTCATGAAGGACAAATGAATGCTGTCTGTTCAGACAGTTTGTGTTAAGACATTGTTGAGCAAAGAGCCCTGAGCTTTGTTTCTCTTGAATGAAGCAGTAGTTGTAGTCATTTTAAAATCATTAAGACTCTGAATGCACTGTATCACTCTACAGTATTTGCTCTACAGCTGCTCTTCTGCTTTAATAGCAGCTTATTAAATTTGGGTCAAGCACACTCTGAAGAGTATCACAATGAAGAACCTGTTCAAAAAGTTACCTGTTTAAAAAAGGCAATTGATTAGATTTTTAACTTAAGTGACAGCTGCAATTCATTGCCTCTTCTTTGTGGTGTCCTGCAGCTAGAGTGGAAGCCTTTTGTAATTTGGTCTTCATTTTGTAAAAGCTTTCTTGAATAATCCTAGGTTGCTTTCCACTCAGAGCCCGCCTCAATCCAATTAGGAGTTTAACAAGGGTCAAATTAAGGAGACTTTATACTCCTTGTTTGCATCATTAGCCATAAGACTGTTTTGTGTGTGCATGACTTTGTGTGGAGAGAGGAGGGGAAGTTGCAAGATGGGAGCAGACACAAAGCTGTCATCCACCATGTGGTGTATCCCTTAACTGAATGGAGGCACAGCAGGCTAGGAACAACATTTCCAGTTGTCTTTTGGGGCTGTCGTTATGTAGATTTCAGCTGATACATAGTTGTTTCGAGGTTACAAGTGCTAGCTAGAGCCCACGAAGAAAATGTGTGTTCTACGCCTACTCTTTTTTCTTTCCTCGTAGCCCATTGTTATTGGACAAATCACTGGGAAAACATTAAGTTAGAAACCTCTTGAGCATTCATTATTTTTGATGAGATGACAACTACCCCGCTCCTTCTTCTCACTGCTCATGCTGTTTCTTCTTGGATTTTTGAAAACAGTTTTCTGCATGTTAAGTGTATTGTACAGTGTGAATTTTTTTTAAGAAAAGAGTAGTTTGTTAGAAGTCTTGAGAGTATCATGTGTGTACTCAAGACTACAAACATTCAGTGCTATTTTCTATATAAATATGTAATTGTGTAAAGGTCACACTATGCTGGTTTTGCTTATGCATGTTTTCAGCATGAGTGCTAGTGAAATTAATAAATGAACCATTGGGTATTTTATGTCATTGGTTTTTTTTTTTTAAAAAAGATATGACCCTGTTCTCCATTTAAGATTGTTCCTAATAACAGCAAAAAAATCTTTCTAACCAGTATTTAGATGTGTGGGATATTGCTAGAGAGCTGTTGCAGTGTCTCTCTAGTAAATGCTTTGTGCTGCAACATACAAAGTAACGATTTATCTAAAAATAACACTTTCATTGTTCCTCCCTCCTAAACCCATTAATAGGTACTTTAGTATCATGCGAGTTTTCATAGTTTAATCCTTTTTCAAAAGCTTTTCAGAATAAAAGCTTTAAATGGTCCTCAGTATTAATTTGATGTGACTTCTGTACAATATGGTTTGAAACTCTCAGAAGCACATTTTTATAGCTTACCCTTTTTCAGTGAATCAGTGTGTGGAGAATACCAGCTAAATGTTTAATGGAGTATCTGCTGTGAGCCTTTTTGTTGTCTATCAGATGCTGTAACTTTTTCTAGTGATTTTACGTTATTAGGTGATACGTAAGCCAGATAAAAAACTTTACATGGATCGCTTGTCTATTGAACTGGTGTTTTTGAAAATGCCATTCAGAAAACTAATTTTTAAATTCTTTACCTGTTTTATTAATTTAATTTAATGAGCATTTAGCTCCAGTATTAAATTCTGCATAAATGGTAAATGTGTTTTAATGTTGGCTGTTTGTACAGTTAATCAGATCATTGTTTACATTTGGACATGGTTAGCTCCAGGGCCTTAAACATCCTTAAATAAGCCACAAAGTTTTTTTTTAAATACTCAACTGTCTGTTAAGTATGGATATATTCTGTATTAATCTGAACTGACAAGAAATAATTTTAAATTCAATCTGTCAACTTCTTATTGAAAAAGGGAATCTATTTTCTGTTTTGATTGTTATATTTTTTATGTCTTTTGAAATTAAGTTCTGGAAAACCTTTTGGTCTCTCTTTACTTTTATGTACTTTATTTTGTTACAGACATTTTAATGGTCCATTTTGACAGATTCTCTCTTAGAATTGCTACAACAGGAACCATGTTTTCTTTTCCCAGTTAACCTTGTCTTAACACTTTTGTATACATTGTTGCTTCTAGTGAAGTATATTTAAGTAAATTAGTGGCAAATTTTAAATTTAGTAGGTAGCATCCTGCTTAGGATATTCAAATTATTATGACCTTTGTTCATCCAAAACGAGTAAGGTTCCATATAATGTGACGTTTCAGAAAGTTAACAAATCTTAGTGTTTCAGTATGTCTGTTAATTTTTTTAAAAAATCAGCTTTACTGTAGCAGCTTTTGTGCTGCTGCATCTCTTTTTGGTCAGCTTGATGCAGAGCTAACTGGTTCCAGATATTTGCCTATTAAAAGAACCTTCTGCCATGTTTATGATGTCCCAAAATGTTCTGGATATGGAGGCTCTTTTCCTAAATGTAGAATGGTAACCAAATCTAAGATTTCAGGACAAGTACCTTATGAGCTAGTTGTGCTTCTGGCAAAATATCAATAAATCCAATTGCTAAAATAAACTTAGGTTAGCCTTTTTAACAGGGAAAAAAATGTATAACCTTCTGCCATTTATCAAGTCAAGATATCATGGTATTTTTATGAAAATAATTTATCCTCAGTTGAAATAATGGATTTCCTGAACATTCTCAGTGCATATTACTGACTTCCAGAGAGATCTTTACATTCTAGTCTGTGCAACATGTCCTCTATGGACCACATGTGGTTTGCAGAAAAAAAGAACCGTGTTACTCTCCTGCATTTGTTTGTTTGTTTGTTTGCTTGCTTGCTTGCTTGCTTTATTGCTGGTGAGCTAAAACAGCAAGTAATTTCTGTTTATCAAGGAAGATGAAAATACAAATATATGTAATGTAAAACATGTGGAAATTTTATATAAATTAGACTCGGCCATTGGGCTTTTGCTAGAATTATATAACAACACAGAAGGAAAGACAACATAATTTATGCCTCTGTGCAAGTTTCTGGAAGATCATTTGGGGCCAATGTGACAGAGCAATGGTAATCAGGCTGCATGGGTACAGTCATCAAATTTCTATTAGTCACAAAGCTTGAAATTTTGAATTAACAGTGCCTTCAGATTCAGAACTTTATGAATTATTAATGATTTTCAGTCACTTCCCATAAGTCTGTGCTGTTTATAAACTCACAAAAGTAGTAATGATTGTCTTACCTGCAGTATATTGGACTCATCCTGTATTACCATGTCTGATTTTCTACTCATGTTTAATGGTATATAATACTGATACTTTGTTATAAGTTTATACTTATTCTTTTTAGATATGAAATTTAGATTTTTTTTTCATTTCTAGCCATCATGTGTGTTGTTCTTTTACAGTATTTTTTTCTTCTTGTAAATATACAGAATTACATGTTAAAAAGTAATTACAATTTATTTCTGTCATAGTTACTTCACTATAAAATGGATTACCTAGATATGTAGAAGTGTGTTTCTAGAAGGAATATGTATTCATTGCATATACAGCTAATTTAGTTCTCTTGAAAGGTGCTGGATTGACAGCCCTGAGGACCAATGTCTGTTGTTTATGCATGAACAACAGCAGAGCAAGTTTTCCCACAGTGTGCTGCCAGTGTGCTTTACCACTGACCTGAAGGAATCCCTTGTGCGGTAAAAGTTTGGTAGTCTTCATACCTATTCAGTTGTTGTGCTCTCTGCAAAGAGTTCAAAGAGTGCCAATTGTGGTAGTACTTTTGGTGTTGAGGGCATCTGTCCACTGTAAAGTGAAGTGTAATCATGAACTTGTTTTAGAAATATACTATTAAAAATCAGATGGTGATAATTTTCAGTCATTACAGACCAATGTTAATAGATATAATTGTAGCGAAAGGCAAGATCAGGATTTGGCTCCCTTGCTGTATATTAACTACAGGTTGAACTTCTCAAGTCCAGCATCTCTAGTCTGGCAACATCCATGGTCTGGCATGATTGTAGTTAGTTGGAGGTCTGCTTATCATGGGTGTGACCAAGTTTCCTGTGGTCCCATAAAGTTTGTTTACAGCCACCAGTCCTGGCTCTCAGTGTTCTGTGCTGTTGTTTAGCTCTTTACCCCAAATGTCTTCTAAGAGCCCAGCAAGCAGTGGAAGTGTTAGTAATGCTGCTAGACAATATTGACTTCCCATGGTTCAGCAAATTCTTTGGTTTGGCACCAGTCAGGTCTTGAGAGTGCTGAACTAGAGAGGTTCAATCTATAGTAAGTTAAAAGTGAAATTTCTAGAACCCTGCACAGATGTGAAAATGTCAATCTGCATTCAATCTACAGCCTCCAGGATTATTCCAGGATCTAACCCTCAATCTGCTAGCCAGCTTTTACCTTTATATGCATCCTGTATCAGGTGAGGAGATGAGAGCACAGTTAAGTGAGTGTGGGAGCAGGGTCTTAAGAAGAAGGGGTGGTGCAGCAGATAGGCTAGGAGGAAGGAGGGGGGTCACATCACATGCTGCTCCTGGGGCCTTGCGCATGACAGAACCTGGCAGCAGCAGCAGCTCATGTTGCATCACTATGGGTAGAATGCTGGGGACCCACCAGCTCCAATCCCCATGGTTGGTGACAGGCTAACTGCTGCACAAGAGTCAGCAGTCTGGGATCACAGCCAGAACTGCTGGGCTGAGCCATTATGGGGAGGCTGGCGCTGGCCCAGGGGCCTAAGCCACTGGATGGGAGGCTGCATAGCAGTTGGGTGCTGGACGGCTCAGACTGCTGTCTAAACCCAGTATTGAGTGTTCTGCGTCCCCATGGGTACTGAGTGTGCTGTGCCCCCCTGTGCTGCAGGTCAGGCCATCACTAGTGAGTAGAGCCTTGTATGTTTGTGCCTGCATCTGCCCCACTATCCTCATAAATGGTCTGTGGATATGAAGTGGATATCCATGGATTTGTGCGGCTCTAGAAGTTTCCTACCCTACTATCAATCTCCTAATCTATCTAATTTTCTTAGATTTTTTTTCAGTTGTTCCTTGACTCCTCTTCTGTCTCTAACTAAAAGCAGAGCATAATTCAATACCTTTTCCAAGTAGAAGTCACAAATGGACAATTTCCCTTATAGCTTATGCAGTGCAAAGTTCTTCTAATTTTAGTGGGAATTGTAGTAGGTTTAAATCAGGAGAGACTTTGGCTCAAAGGCTTTAAATAGAATAATTCAAATCATCAGATAAATTTTGATCTCATGTATTCAAATGTAAAACTGGAGTAGCTAGTGACTTGGTTACCGTGAATTTACACCTGCGCAAATAAAAGCAAAATTTAGTTTACTATTTTCTTACCTTTGAACATTTAATTATCTTTACACTAATTACTCATTATGCAATGTGAGAGTTGTGAATCTGAATGTGTTAGTCAGGAATGTGGTAGTTAAGGTTCTTTGCACACATGTACATGGCATATTTTGTATAAATACATATACTGTTAAATTTATGCCATGGATATATGTTCAATATGCCTGAACTGCAATTCAGTTTATTATTGGGCATATATGATGTAATGTACAATGCTATTTTAATAGGTTATAGCATTTATCTGTAAAGAAAATGAAACAGTGAATGATGACAGATATATTTATTTTAGTATGGAATATGGGCATAAATCCTCTCAGCAAGCCCAGTTTCTCTCTCATATTGTATATCCATCTTTTCAATATGCAATGTAAAATTAAAATAGTCAAAACTTTAAACATAAATAGCCTTTTATGGTGCATTGTGAGATTTTTACATATATGCATAATAAGATAGCAAGTCAAATTTTTGTTTAAGTCTAATCATGCAACTGCAAACTGTAAAGACACATTTATTTCAGTATGTGATGCTCCATATTGTATGTACATACCTAGAGCTTTGCACTTAAATGTTTTTTTTGAAAAATCACTTAGTGTACATGTAGAGTATGTGGTTCTTGAAGAAACTGACAAATTTAAACCATATTATTTTAGATATGTCAAAAGTTCTCACCACCAATAAATCTAAATTTATAGCAAGTTTCAAATTTTAAAATGAAGCTGAGCTGCTTTTCAGTGATCCAGTGAAGCAAGGGAAATGTATTTAATTCATAGTCAATTCTTCAAAATGGCTAAGCAATTAACAGAAATAAAACAAAAGCGCTGTGTACTCAGAAAAACCAAGTAAATTAAAAAGTCAGCCCCAAAATTATTTTTTCCTAAAGGTGTAAGCAAAAAAGTGACTTTTAATGAAAGTGTCTCCAGAACTATCCCTGATGTTTTGTAGTGAGAGTGCTATATTTTACAGTTAAATTTTTATGAGGTACCAAGGTATGTGAGGAAAAGTGTAGACTCTGACATCATAGGGCAAGCACATGGCTTTGCAATATGGGCTAATAGTTATTTTTATCTTTCTATATCCAGAGCCCACTCCTGCTCCTTTTTAAAAAAAAATCTAGAAAGGCATATCTTACTCAGTTTCTGGACTTTGTTTTGCAGATCCGTCCCACCTCCCAAAAATACAAAACAACACTGAAGAAGCTGATTTTAATTTTATATCAAAGAAACCCTTGAGGTGGAAAGTTAGGGAAGACGGCATGGGTCTGTAGCAGACAAAATGTCGCTTGAATTTTGCTGCTCAGTAGTTTGATATACTCATTTGCTGATGTGAAATGACGAGGGCTTAGAAAGCAGGGTTTTGTTTTTTAGCTGTCTGTAGACCTAGTGAGGCCTTACAGAACCCAGTCAGCAGGTCATTAACTCTGGAGAAAACAGCTTGCATTAATATGCTCTAATCCGGTATAATTAGTCAAATTACTGCACGCCGACCGGCTTGTCATGTGTTGTCAGATTTGGCATGCGTGCAGGATAGCCACTGTCCCACTGGAATGCCACCCTGGATCAGGGAAAACTGCTCGTTTGTAGTATTGCTGATCTTTTGATGAGGAAAGCAAACTGAATCAGCAGCCATAGTCACTATTTTTTCTTCATGGTCTGTCATTATTTTATCAAGAGATAAAGAATTCATACTCCAGGAACAATTTACAGTTAATTTCTGCCACTAGAAAGAGAGACTGTTCTGTTGGTTCTTACTACTTCTCTATATCTAACAAAACTGGGGATCTGCTGTGCTAGGAGATTAGCCTTCATAAAAAGATTTAAAATAAATAATTACAAGAGGATCAGCTACAAATTACCTACTACACTCTGACACAGATTATTAAACCACCAGTGTGTGTGCATGCATGCACGTGCGTGTGTGCCTTTTTCCAGTAGAGAAGAAGGTTATTAAACTGTAAAAGGGCCATATTAGCATAAATTTACAAGCGCTCTTGTTCTGGCGGCATGATAAAAACCTGTGTTACCTTTGCATTAACACTGAATTGCTTGTTGTGCTTTTGGCAATGACAGATAAGTCAGTGTAATTCCCCATCGCAACGGAAATGATGCTCCAGATTCCAAACGCATCCTGAAGATGTCACTGACAATAATCTTCAAAGAACGGCCAGTGAAAGTGGGCTGTATGTTTGCAGGATGATATACTGCAAATGACAGGAAGAATTATGTGAGTGAAGACGAATCTGTAACATATTATTAAGCAATTTCACGAGAATAACAGGGATAAAAGGATAATGGATGAGGGTGTCATTATTACCTTCATGTAGAGGGAAAGCAAAAGCAAAGGTAGGGAGACAAGATTAATTGAGGAAGGGTGAAGCATTCATTGCTCATCAGCTCTTTTGTACTCCATGCTCCTGAAATTCCAGACAAAAAAAATTGCTCAGGGCTGCATTTTAATGCAGCTGGCAAGAATGAGCAGAAAACTGACAAGGCACTTTTTAGTCACCTCCCAGTTTCCATAAACACACAATGGCTATTACTCGTTGAGTGCTCCAGCAGACACAATATGAACCAGTGGTAGATTCTTTCTTCTTTGGAGCTATTTTTTAAATTTATTTTTCATGTTTTCAACCCAGAAGCCTCTATTAGCTAATGTTATGGAAATATGTTGGTTGTCCTGTACACAGTGTTTGCATTTGCATCCTTCTAACAGTGGGGTGTATAATAGTTGTGTGTAGAAGACCTTCATTTGAACACAAAAGTAGTGTGGGACCAACTGCAGTGTTAGGGATCGTAGTGCTCTGAAAGACAAAATTGTGTATAAGTACCAAACATTTTGTTATTTTAAACATACACTGTAAAATGAAGAAGTAGAAAATGATTCTGCAGCTGTAGAGACTAGTCCAAAGTCCTTACTTAGCTAAAATTTCCACTGAGATCTACAAAAAATTTTAAGTAAGAGTTGCAAGTATTAGACCAATAGATTCAATTATCCTTTTTAATATTAGTATGTATGTCTCTAACAAAGTAGCAACCATTTCTGTCACAGAATATTTAGGCTACTATTTGAAATATTTGCGTATATTATGAAACTTTAAATTTTTCTTAATGCAAATGCACTTTTTTTTCCTAGGAAAGTTTTCTTTAGAATGGCATTGACAACTTTATGGTTATGGAACAGTTTATATTCTATGGTGCTATTTTTAAGCATTCCAAAACTTATATCTTTCAATCTGAAATTTTACAAACTGGGTGTCTTCCTAAATTGATCGAATGCTATTTTTGTGGCAGGAGCATAGAGATTGTGAATTTGGGGAGTGGCTGGGAAGTTTGATTAAGAATAGTTCTTTGAGTGATGTTCCTGTGGTTATACCACTGTTGGTGTCGGGCTTGTTCCAGCACCGTAGATTAGAGATTTTTTTCAAGTAGTATCAGGTCAGGCCACGCATGCGTGACATGAAGCTGTGCGCCATTCATGCCTTTGGAGTTGGCATGCGCAGCCCGACTCTCCTCGGTTTTCTTTGTACCATCCTTGGTTGCAGCAGAGTCAGATTCTCTCCTTTTTTTGGTGTACCTGTAGATAATAATTTAGTTCGCAGTTAGTTTAAAGTTCTAGTTATGGTTGTTCCTTATTTCTGCTTCTTGTGTTTTGTTTTTTTTTAAAGCCCCGTTACAGACTACCTTATGTAAATAGTTACTGCATCAGAGACAGTACAGACACAACCAGGCCTGATAACAGCCCTTTCAAGAGAAACTCAAGGATTTAAAAAAAAAAAAGCCTACAAAATAGCACAAATATTACAGGAAGAGAAAGAGAGAGATGGAGAAAGAGGCAGGTCTAGCAAAATGCCAGGCTCTCCTGGCTTTAGAAAAATGCGACAAGTGTTGCAACCCTCTGCCAGTCTCGGGTGGTCATTAGTCATGTATTCACTGCTTGGGTGAAGCACACATTCCACAGAAATGTGTGCATTGTTGCAGGCACACAGCCTGAGCCCGAAAAGACACAGAGCTGAGACTCAGAGGCTATGTCTACACTGCCAGCTTTGCCAGCAGTGTCTATGCAAATGAAGTGTGGATTAGCATTTTGTCATGCTTCATAAGCATAATTTATTCAAGCCGTTTTTGCGCAAAATCAAGCAGTGTGCGCGAGGCGGGTTTGCACACAAACCCCGTTTTGCT